TATATGTCCAAACCATTTTGCACAATTATTATTATTTTATTATGCATGCATCTTGTTTGTTCTAGGTTGCATAAATTCCAGCAAATTAGCTGCATTGTTCTTTCCTTTTAATATTAGATGATATTCTTTTGTAATGGTAGAAAGTCCATTTTTAGCAAACATTTACAATTGTGTTGCATAAAATAACATAGATTACTGTAATTTGCATTACATTTAGGCATATGCTTCTTGGAATATTAAATACCCACTTTTATTATGATTTATCAGCCCTTGTTTTTAATATTGCTGTTTTTATTTTTGCTAAAGTAACTTTTCCTTGGTCAGATTTATGATTCATTTATACACACATCTTTGTTGTGAATATATATTGATGGGATACATCCCTATCCACAAAAATCTGTTTTTCTTTTCAAATTCAGAATTTATTCAGTTTCAAATAAGCACTTATTTACTAATATAAACACTATTTCCTTGAACTTTATTATTTTGCAATTCCTCTGCAGACCTTGATTTTTATTTTTAGGATTTTTTAGGATTATATTTAGGATATCTGCTTTCGTTATCTTTCTCTATTGTATGGGTTTATCTCTCTAAAATCTGCATACCTTCTAATACATTTGTTTCCCTTACAGTAATTATAGACCTAATTTCTCTTTTTTAATTTATTTATTTCATACATTTGTATAGCTCCCATCTAACAAAAAGCAATTCACAACAGCACCAACATGTGGAGAACTGAAATTGAATACCAATCTATTTAAATAAGTTCCTCTGCTTGGTGGATCTGCCATTAACTGGCCAGTTTGATGGATTATCAGAGCATGTGGCAAAAAACAAAATACAATTTTTGTTGGAAAAAACAAATATATTATTTAGGTGACATTTAGATCTTAGAGCTGAGAAAAAGGTGCTTTGTTCCTGTCAGAATATGAAAATATTTGAAAGGAAATGTTATTACTTATGATGGCAATAGTGGTTTTCTTTATGACTGATTGGATTGAAAATTTAGTAATAATTAATTGTGAAAAGTGGAAAGTTGTGGTCTTCATTGGACAAGTTCCTAAAAATTTATTCTCATTACATTTGAGCAAGTCTCCACATACCATTAACTAGCTTCTTCACTTGAAATTTGATTTGCTCATTAAAAGTGTCTGATCCTAATTTTAAAAAATTAATGGGATTATAAATTGTTAGTGCATAAAATGTTGTTGTATGAAAGGTTAATAAATTCAGCCATCTTTTTCCAATTAGTAAAAGCAAAATTGGTTCCCTGTCCTCTTTTCTAGAACAAGATTTGTAATGTATATTCATCATAACATACTAATTTCATGACTTGTGTTACTAAGAATACTGCTCCCTTTCTCTATTCTGAAACTAGCCTCCTTCCAGCCCAATCAAATTCAGCTACTAAAAGGTTTAAATTTGGGCTGAGAATGAGACTTATCTCAGATAACAAACTGTGCAAACTCCATTTTCTGATGTGAAAGATCGAGAAATTGTGCAGGGATCTGTGCTGCCAGGATCTCTACTACCAAATTCAAAGTGTTGGTTTTTCATTAGAATTCATTCCCCCTTTTAAATTAAATGGAGGGCAAGGTCTAGTCATGTAACTTGATCTCTCTGTGGCATGTAATAGAATTTCTTTTTAATAAGATTTTTTTAATGAGTGTCTTGACATGATTAAGAATGCATCAGATATCTTCAGTTGTTCCTAATCTGTAATCTGTAACTTTCCAACTGCCTTCCAATTTATTCACTTTCTTCACTAACCCCAATCCTAGAAGGGCACAAGAACTGAAAAAAGCCACATAAAATTAGGGTCTCCCCCCCCCCCCCCCAGCAAAGGGATAGCAATTCACTACTCAATATATATGGTAGGTTTGGCTTGGACAGCTGCTCCACTCCACATTATCCCAAACTTTTGATTGGTATCAATAACTACATTCTAAATTTACAATTTTGCTTAGGAAAAATTTTCTAACCCTTTTGGTTATGTTTTTTTTTCCTTCCTCCTTTCTCTCAGATCAAAGTGTATATGTAATTTTTGGTTTCTATTTTAACTAATATCATTGCTATCATTCTTTTAATATACGTTTAATTTTGTTATGATTGTTGTTAAAAAATTAAAACAATAGTCTCCTCTTTTGCATTAATGCAACAATAAAAAAAAATCCGGAGATATGTCCATATTAGGGCTACACAATTTTTTGGAAATGCTTTTAAACAAAGGATCCAGATCTTGAACTTACAGAGACATGTATCTTTCTATTGTTCACTAAAATGCATATATTTTTTTCTTTCCACATTCCCTTATCCCAGGGAAATAGCACTGCTGCTTGAATAATTGCTTGAATGTGTTGATTCCTTAAAGCAGTAACATCTTTTTCCAGATTTTTACAAAAGTTGCCGAGTTTGCATTTGTGCATCATACCAGTCAGTTCTTACAAATAATTCTGAAGCATTTTTGAAGCATACATTAGCTCATGAAAAATCGAGTGACTTAAAAACTGTTACTATAAAAACTTAATAATATATGCATATTGTTAGCATTTCCAGGCAGACCATACAGGAAACATGACCAGATGACTAACAGTACTTTATTGTAAAGTTATCTTAACAGTATCTTGAAAATCTCCCAGGGCCTCTTTTTAGCCTGAGAAATTAGGGAAAGTCCCTTCTGAATCTCTTTCTCATTCCATTATGTAGCTGGAGGCAATGCCCTTTCTTATCTGACCATTCCCTAAGCAGTATCTTATCTACGCACCCTAATCTCCCAAGGTCTGATTTACCATTAAAACATATTGGTTATATGGTTGATAAACAGAAAGTAAGACCTCATTTAATACAAACAATCATGGAAATAAATGAAGAAATGTGGTTAAGAATAGAAGCTAAATGTCAGAGTTTATCTTCATAATATTTTTATGCATTCCCTTTTTGTATGTTTAAAATCAAAATTATATCTGCGTTCTACAAGATAAACATTATAGACTTCGCATTGTTCTGTAGTACTGTATTTTTTAAACAATAACTGTTTAAATACTTTTTATTGAGTATGAATAAGATATTATAACGTTCAGGTTGATCTTTTGCCTTATGAAGTTTGATCATCTTTTTTATTTTTAAAGAATTTCCAATGTGTTCTTTTTATCTATTCCAGTAAGAAGTCATGCATGTGAACTAGACCAGCATGGAAAGCCAGGTAGATGTTCACATATCTGTTTGCTCAGCAACAGCTATAAAAGCAGGACTTGTCGCTGCCGGATGGGCTTTGTCTTGGGAAGTGATGGCAGATCATGCAAAAGTATGTTTTTGGATATCAAACACTTTACCAGAAAGAATTTGTGTTCAGAGTAGTATTCTCTATATTAAATAAAATATTTAATAATACCAGTTGCATGAGCTAAATGTTAGCTGGTGGAATTTGTTCAGCAGTATGCTTTTACCATATTAAACCAATACAATCAAGATCAAGTGAGGTACTAATACCACTCTGTAAAGCCTTAGGAAGACCATGCCTAGAATACTGTATCCAATTTTGGTCACCGCACAATAAAAAAGATGTTGAGACTCTAGAAAGAGTGCAGAGAAGAGCAACCAAGATGATTAGGGGAAGTGGAGGCAAAAGCATATGATGAACAGTTGCAGGAACTGGGCATGGTTAATCTAGTGAAGAAAAGGATCAGGGGAGGCATGATAGCAGTGTTCCAATATTTGAGGAACTGCCACAGAGAGGAAGGGGTCAAGCTATTTTCCAAAGCACCTAAAGGCCAGAATAATGGATGGAAACTGAACAAGGAGAGATTCAACCTCGAAATAAGGAGAACTTTTCTGACAGTGAGAGCAATCAACCAATGGAACAGCTTGCCTTCAGAAGTTTTGGGAGCTTCATCATTGGAAGCTTTCAAGAAGAGACTGGACTGCCATCTGTCAGAAATGGTGTTCTGTCTGCCTGGGCAGGGGATTGGACTAGATGACCTACAAGATCCCTTCCAACTCTATTAACCTGTATGTATCTATGGACTGGACCTTGTAGCAACAGAGATATATTTCATTATTTCTTGTTATTCTTGTCTCCTAAGGATAGTATTACCAAATCCTTCCCCAACTGTAATGCCTAGTTGGAGTGTTTATAGAAATCATGCTGGCCCAGATCCAACCATAGTGCATTATTTCTTTAAAATATAAAGTTCAAATATTTTTTCAGAAATTTCCTTTTCTTGACATTTTGATGTTAGTTGAGTCCTATGATAAGTTTGCATTTTGTATTCTGATAACCTGTGTGAACCAATACAAAAACTACCATAATGCAAGTTATATAACCAAAATTTTACTTACAATTTTTAAGTGAATCCAAAGATTAAAAAAAAAAAAAGATTTGAATACTTGTTGCTCTGGGTGCTTGTATTTTCAATATTGATTACAAAGTTGCAATATGTTTAAAAAGAAAGTAATTGACTATATAAGTATTTATTGATACATATTCAGATAAAAAGTATAATCTATTACTTTGTGATATTTTGCTTTAGTTTTTGAGTTTGAAAATGAAAATTAAATTGTGTCTTTGCTGAACTTTACAGCATTATTACATGTTAATAGCAGACAATAGATCCATTTTTATACAGCATTATACAAGTCCATTTTGCACTAACAATAGTCTATCTCCTTTTGGACTTTTGAAATATTAATTGGTATAAAAAGCAGTGATTGATTAGATGTAATGACTGTTTTAATTAAATTTGACAAATTTAATTGGTTTAATTGACCAATCATTCTTAGCTCAGATGCCTTCAGAATATCCAATATCTTAATTGTAGATGTTGAACTAAAAACAAACAAACAAAAAACTTTTACCATTAAATAAAGCAGCTTTGGTTTTTAGCACTGTATAAATACATTATGAAAGATTTGTGATTAAAGTTTTTAATACTTTTTATGTAGGACTAAAGAATGAATTGTTCCTGTTTTATGGGAAAGGACGTCCAGGCATCATACAAGGAATGGATCTAAATACCAAAATAGCTGATGAACATATGATCCCTATAGAAAATTTGGTCAATCCTCGAGCTTTGGATTATCATGCTGAAACCAATTATATATACTTTGCGGACACTACTAGTTTCTTGATAGGACGTCAAAAAGTTGATGGCTCTGGGCGTGAAACAATCCTGAAGGATGGTATGTAGTGCAACAAAAAGATTTCAATATAGAAAAATGAAAATTTCACCCAAGCATTTTCAGGCATCAACTTAACTTGGTTTATTTATTTTAAAACTCTGAAAATTTAGATTTTGGACTTAGTAACTGCAGGTTCGTTGTTGCCCAGAATATTTTGATCATATATTACTGGGTATCTGGGATTTAAAATAGCCTGTATTTTTAACATATACTGTGAACTACCAGTTTCAGTGCCATGAAGCATAGGGCAAAGAAGCTTTTGGAACCTGACAAAGACAGGAAGAAGCAGAAATGCTGTGGGTTTAAGGGAAACTAGCACTTTCAAACTGTTATCTGTGCCACTTTAATTGAAGAGAAATAATTTCATTTAGCCTTGCTATGTCAGGTTTCTGCCATATTCAAGCCAATTGACCCCATCTATAGTTGAATTTGGACATTCATAGTTTAGCCTGAGAAGAGGAAGTGCAGTACTAATGTTTTCCCCCCCTCGACATTTCTATTTTATTACCCATTTCATTGTGTTTATCATAAAATAATTTCTCAATTGCCAAGGAAATACTACGAAACTATCATAAAGCAAGGAAAACCAATATTTAATGGAAATTGGAATACTTTAATAGTTTAATAGATTTAATAGTGAGTAGTATCAGGTTTGATATCCCTAATATCCCTGATATATTCCTCACTGTAAGAGGAGATATTCCTGAGACTTTTTAAGGAGATTTTGGTTTGTCTTCTTTTTAAGAAACCATCACTTGACTCTACCTGCCTGTACAATTTTCACTCATTTTCCCATCTTCCCATTTTAGGAAAAGTGGTAAAAAAGGTGGTTGCTTGGAAACTCCAGAGATTTCTGGATAAAACAGATTTCCTGGATCCCTTTCTATCTGGATTCAGATCTGGCTGTGGGACAGAGACAGCCTTGATCACATTTATGGATGATCTTTGGCAAGAGCAAGATGCAAGTAGTGTAACCATTCTCTCCATTCTTAACCTCTTAGCGACCTTCAATACCATTTACCCCACAAAGCTGCTTTGAGGCCAGCTTCGTGAGTTGGGATTGGGTGACACAGTTTTAACCTGTTTCAGCTCCTTTCTCCAAGCTTACTCCCAATCAGTGTTTAGGACGTGAGAGATCCAACTCCTGAGTGCTCACTTACAGTGTCCTCAACATTTGGTACTCTCTTCTCTGCTATTGAAGCCACTGGGTGAGATCTGTCACCACGGGTTGAGATATCATCAATATGCTGATGATACTCAGCTCTGCATTTCTACACATGGTGATCCAAGTGATGCTGTCACTGTCCTCTTGCAATGTGTGGGGGCTGTGGGGTCCTGGATGTGGGGGGAAATGGACTTTGACTGAACCCTGGCAAGTCTGACTGGCTTTGGGTGCATGGAGCCTCAGCATTTGGGGTTTAGTCCTCTCTGGTTCTAGATGGGTTCTAGATGGGGTTGTACTTCACAGTTCGAAGCTAGGGGTGTTCACCTGAACTCAGGTCTCCTGCACAAAGAGTAGGTAGTGAGTGTGACTGGGAGAGCTTTTGCACAACTTTGGTTTATGCACCTTTCCTGGATCATGAGTCTGCGCTCAATTATTGAGTCCCCAGTCACCTTACATCTGGACTACTGAAATGTGCTCTACGTGGGGCTACCCTTAAAATCCATTTGGAAACTGCAATTGGTACAAAGTAAGGCAGGGAGTGCAGTCTTTGGAGCCCCTAGGATGGCTCATATTACACCACTTTCCATGAACAGATCTGCTTCTGAGTGCAGTTCAAAATGTTGGTTATGAGCTTTAAAGCTCTGAATGGCATAGATCTAGACTACCTGATAAACCCTATTATCCCATTAAATCTAGCCCATCCTAGTCAGTCTGGCAGAGTGGACATACTGTGAATGCCGTCAGACAAAGAACTGTCATGATCCAGAAGACCCTTCTCTGCCTCAGCACTCTCCCCTGCTGTCAGGGTTCCAAGTAACCCCTCCAACAGAATTAAAACTCCAAGGTGAAGTTCTTCCTCAGAGTATAAATTTATTGGAGACATCATGTTGGCACATCTGAGAAAACCCCAAAGCTAAATTCCTGCGTTTCCCCCACCGAAAGTAAAACCCAAAGTTCCTTCCCCTGCATTCATCTCTGCATCACATGGTCCAATCAAATTAACATCCCAACTCCAGCCAACTTCTATCACACCTTCTCAGGTGCCAGCTGGATGTTCTTGGTTCCCATGGGAAAGAACACTGTTGTGATTATACTCCCTCACTATCTGCACCTCCCACCTTTCATTCCCACGACTAGCTAAACCATCACTGTGGCAGCCCTGTAGACTCTCTCAAAGGATGACTATAGGGCTGACACCCACTTTGAAACATCATATATGTATGACTGAGTATCTACTGGCCGGATGCCCTTCCTGTCACCAATGAGGAGTTATATTCAGCATATATATTCTCAACGTGCCCAGAGAGAAATATCTGCCTCTACCTAGGATCAAACTCACAGCTTCCTGATTGTGAAACAGGAGCTCCATTTCTAGGCCACTGCACCGCACACACACACACACACACACACACACACACACACACAC